ATTGATCTATGTTAATCACACAAAGTCTCAATTCAAATACATGTTCGTCTAATCTTTTTGCTATTCTTTGTATGAGATGTGGTTCATTGGCGCTGTGACCTTGCGGCTGGAAGGAAAATGGAATTGACTACTGAGGAACTATGTTAGCTTTTGATATGGTTGAGGTTTCTATTGTTGCCTACCGATACTAAAGGAGGAAGAAGATCTTATGGGATGACCGAACACGAGTGGTTGATGTACGCTACTGCATGGGCCTATGATAAAGAAAAGGACGACATGTCAACAATGCTAGTGATTAGATTTGTTGAAAATGATGTCGGTTTGAAGTGACTCAGTGCTCATATGAGTTAGTTGAATCGACTTGATTTCCTAATTTGAGTCGGTTTCCTGGTTCAGCCAAGTTTGGGTTGATAACCAACTCGACCTCAAGCATCCTAACAGATACTCAGTTTGGGCTAAACTTATTCGACCAATGGGTTGAAAATCATGCTTATAATTCTTGGCTTCTCTTTTAAGATACATTGGTTCAAATTTCAATACTTGTCTATTTATTATAAAGAAATAAGTTTAATAATTGTGAAGGAAAATATGTCATTCATATTTTGGATCTCGTTGTAGGAATTTAAAATCGGATAATATTTTTCTCATTTCAATCTTATACATTGTATTGTGTGTAGATGTTAAGACGTAGACATATGTCATTGCCCTAGAAATTCATTAATATTTCAAAAAATGGTGAAATGAACCAATAATTAAACCCAATCTCGTACAATGATCATTGGATCTAATCACACCGAATTAGGAACATGTTTAAAACTTAGTGGTTAACCCAACTTAAACGTTAAAAACCCCTCTCATATAGTCTACACAACAATATGATTTCTTCATAGTAATTCTAAAAATTAATACTAAAATATAATTTTAACATTGCTTCGACCTACTTAATACTCCAATTTGATATGCAACCAAGTTATATTTCGGTTGCAATTTTAAAGTTATCCACTATTTATAATATACATAGAAACGCAAATTAAGTATTAAATTACAATTAAAATAATCAAAATATGAAAACCAAAGCATCAAATAACTAAATAAGTACTTATGGGAGATTTGGTGGCTAGCTAACCGTTGTAAACGTCCTATGATTTTTCAGATGTTAGGTTTGTGTATGTTTTTCTTTTAAAAGATACAACAAATATGCGTAGTGTGATTGGTTGTCATATTTGTTGTAGCTCTTCCCTCTCTTTAAAGTGGTCGTGGTTCAAATCACCATAAGTATCCCTTTTATAAATAAATAAATAAATAAATAAATAAGAAAGAAATAAGTAGTTGTGAAGACAAAACTGCCCTTCCTACATTCACTCTCGATGCAGGAAATTTGAAATGGAGAAATGGGTTTTGGTTTTCACCTTTAATAATACTAGCTTATAACTCGACCCGCTGGCCGATTAACATTATGCATGTTCATATTTGATTGTTTATATTCATTAGAAACACGGTCCATTAATAAAACAAATCATAGAATCCAACACTGGACCATAAGTGCATTCGATCTGGTGGGATCTGATGAAGTTCGTTCGAAATGTCCCATCAGAAATTTTTCTGTTGAACTTGTATGATTGGTTGGATGAAGGTCCAGGACATATTAGATTCAATTCGATACGGTCTTGGTCAAAGTTGTGTTGCATCCAGTGTGGTTTGGGGTTGACCATAAAAACTTGAGAGAAAATGACAATATTAGAGTTACATCCAATATACTAATAGACTCGAAGTAATGAGACACAAAATTGGACACTCCTTATCTAAAGGTTCCAATAGTTTGAATTGTGAATCGACTTTAACTTTAGTAAATCAATCAATGATTCCTCGTTTTAACATAAACATAGGTTGTGGTTGTTGCAACAACCATAACACCTAAAGATCCAATAGTTTCCACTCTCCGTTGTACAACCAACTTTTTATCCCTCCATCTTCAGTCTCTCAACGTATATGTTTTAAACCAAAATTCAATTTCTAATTCTCCTTCTGCAACTCCATTTATGCTACTTTGATGGACCTTCTCTCCATGAACCTGAATTTTTCTATCAATTGAGTTTCTTTTCAGCTTGATCTCCAACTCCTCAATCCTCTTTCTTGTATTTGGCCAACTCATCTTCCTCGGGGCAGTTTTAATAAGCTCGTAAAACCAACACTCATCTTCAATTCCATCAATATGCTCTTCTCCTCCTTCTCTGCCTTCACCTGATCCAGTTCACTTCCATGCCCTTCAATACCCTCTCTATTTTCATTAATATCTTGATTATCTACCACTTCTCTCTCTTCAAGTGCTCTAATTTTTCTTCTATGTCTTTCAATACCCTCCTTGGTTCAATCACTACCCTGACCAACTGCCTCTTCACTGCCTTCACTTGCTGCAAACTACTTCCATATACACCTTCCTCAAAATCACAATCGACTACCCAATATCAATCCATGGCCTTGGATCAGTTTTAAACTCTCTATAAACATCTCAATACCACAAAGTCTAAATCTAAATATTCTTTCAGTTAATCATGAACGTGAGTTAATCAAAATCTAATCCACTCCTTCTAAGTTGGAATTCTCATCCCCCAAGCTCATTTTTGGTTCATTTGATCCCACATAACCATGATATTATACCTCTAACTAAACTAAATCAAAGCATTTTACGAAAAGAAACCGAACCATGAACTTTACCTTCTACCAAATCCAAACACAATTTCTTCCTCTCACCACTTTCCTTCCCAAACCCAATATCAACTTTTACTCCAAGTTCACACCCCCAACTCCCAGTGTGTTGCGTGAAAGCTTAATTTTAGCAATCATTATGCTTGCAATTAGATTAATGGACACCAGCGAGCGCCAAAATTCCACCAGACGATGAGTTGTCTTCACTTTGAGTTTTGTCATAAAACTGCTGGCCCGATATGTTTATAAGTTTGGAGGCCATATGATGAGCAATACCGAATTAGTTGCAGCGAAGTTACCGGTCATAGTAATGACAATGTGAAACATGTGTTAACAAACGCGAATATGGGTTACTTTTATGGATTGACATTAGAATGATGGGATTGGACAATGAGATCGTCCTTAGTGAAGTGACATGTAAATTGGTTCATTTGGTATGGAGGACACAAACCGTTAAAATTCTAAATTATTTGGGTGAGTTTGTATTTAGTGTTTTCAAAATCGAGGTATATGAGTTAGGTGATTAAAATATATAAATCCAAACGAACCGATCCACGTACACCCCTAGGAAGAGTTTCAAAACTTAGTATTTAACCCGACAAAAATGTTCAGAGAACCAGTCCCCTATAGTTTGCATAAAGATATGATTGTTTCACTATAGTTCTGGAAATTAATGGTAATTTAAGAAATCTATATCGCTTCTACATATTCAATACTATAATTCGATATGAAATATTCGAACCAACAATATTTTGGTTGCAAATTTATGGTTATCGTCAATTTAATATTTATAAGATAGATAAAATTTCAAATTAAGTATTATACTTTAATTAAAATAAAAATATCAAAATTGAAGTATCAAAACACCAAATAAGTACTTACGGAATATTTATTGGGCTAGCTAACTGTTGAAAAGTTCTGTGATTTCATATTTTAGCTTCGTATATATTTTTAATTTAAAAAAATACAACAAATCTACATAGTCTGATTGATTTTAAACCTTCACTTTGTTTGAAGTGACTATGGTTCAAATCTCAATATGTCTATCTTTTTCTGTAAATAAATAAAAAATACACATAATTGTGAAGACAAAAATGTCCTTATTAATTTCCCTCTCATTGCATGAAATTTGAAAAGGGAGATTAAGTTTCAAATAATTAAATCATATACCCTAAATCTATAGATATTAACCCTAATATCACATATACTAAGAACATAATCAATGATCCTGATTTGCCAAGATGTATACAACATACCATATGCACTATATTAGGATTTAGAGAATTATGATATAGGCTATAGGGTTTAGTTACGTGATTAATCTATGGTCTAGATAATGTTATTTAACTAAGGAGATGCAATAATCCTCAATCCATCGAGCGTACCATAGAATTTCCAATGTATATACACATATCATTGTTTGTTAAATTTAGCCAATGATAATTGGCTCATTTGTAAATGGTATTTAGTCTTTCAATTATATGCTTATAATTGTCAACCATTAGGGAAATTGTTAGCCAATGATTTTGGTCATTCACTTATAGCATTGAAAATGTCTCGTTACAAAACCATAGATCACAAATGTCAAATTGTATGTTTTGAAATAAAATTTTGTATAGCACTTTTGTAAACAATCCTTGTATACCTACAAACTACAAAGTCATGTAACCTAATAAATGTAAAAGTTGTAAGACATACATAAACTCAAAATGTACTATTTGATTCTTGGTGAAGAATTGTGTGATTAGAGGAACTCACTTAGTTGATTCATAAAACTAGATATATCATGATGATTCACTTTGTAAATAATTATAGTTATTAATTAATTCGATGATTGATTGTTGCGGTGATAGTCCTATGATTTTGATATATTTCAGTATTTTCTCTCTTTAATTCAAAAAATACATAAATATTGTTGTAGTCCACTTGGTTAGAGATATTGACTATCAATCTGAAGGACTCGAGTGCAAGAAATTTGAAATGCTCAAAATCTCATGAAGAACTACTATATAATAACGTCTTCTGAAGAACTATAGAGGAACTATAGAGGGACTAAATAATAATAACTAATATGATGTGGTTAGTAACGTCTTCTGAAGAACTATAGAGGGACTAAATAATAATAACTAATATGATGTGGGTAGACACGGTAAGGGAAAAACAGGATCAGTCAGTTTCAGTCTAATGGCAAGGTTGAAATAGAACAGGAGACGAGTTCATCGACGAACAATTGATTCATGCACTTCGTTTCTATGCATCATCAAAACGCTCTCGATCACTGGTTTGCACTAGATTACAGATCTAAGCTCTGGCAAAGAAAAGTAACACTGATGTTACCAAGTTCGCACCAGAGCTAGCAATGCAGAGCGATTGATGCAGAAGAAAATGACCACACCACCTTGAACCAAAATAAAACGGCACATCCAAACTTTTAGAAGATACAGAAATTTATCATTTAACTGAGGGGAGCAGAACATGACAAATACCCTAAATTATGGTTCAGCAGTAGTGAAGGGGTGAAAACTTGGTATCTAACTGTCATATCTCAAAGCAAGTCTAGACGACCATAATGAAGAAAAGCTGACAAATAGATGTTGCTCCAACAAACATATCAAGGTGGTAAGCAAAAAATTTAGGCAGCAGCACCCTTGCCCTTCTTCTTCTGCAACTTCTTCATGTAGAACTCCAGCTCTTTGCCCTCCAAGATGTATCTGTTCAGTCACAAATGGAAAAGAAACAGTTAAGACGGAGAATACAGAATCATAGACATGACAGCATAACGATATTGAACACATGAGCTAGAGATTTTGGGAACTCGATACATACCCATCAGCACGGCCGCATTGACCGGGGCGTGATGAAATGCAAGCTAGTAAACGCCCACCACCGAACTGCTCCTCAATATGTGAGTCAAGCTGGCGGGTCTGCTGCCTCTTCTCCAGCTTCCTTGTCACATGGCTGCTTTTCTTCACTTCTTCAGTGACAGCTTCAGCTTCCTATCCACCCAATCATTTCAAAAAAGTAAATACAGGGGAACAGAGTTTGCAGACTACTATGCTACATAAAAACAAAGCACTGTAAAATTATAGTTTCTCCAATCACATATATTACTAAGAAAAAGTCTTTACCTCTCCTTCTTTCTTGGCAGCAGCTGCTGCAGCTGGATTTTTCTTCTTGCGACCAATGTCAACTCCATAGTGCTGGAGGTACCACTGCTTAAATGGTGCAGCGTCAACCTGAACAATGGCACTCTTGACCAAGGTCTGAGTACGGACCAACTCATTGTTAGATGCATTGTACACCACATCAAGAAGTCTGGTCTTCCTGGTCACTGCCTCACTACCCCATGAGAAGTTTCCAGTATCAAGCCTCAACGCACGCCACTTCACGTTCCCTCCACGAACCCTCACTCTCCTAACTGTCTTGTTGCTCGACAATTTAGTGTTAGCAGGCTGCCTACCGAGCTCATACCTGCACAGCGTTAAAGCTCCATGTGAGTAAGAACTTGCTCTCAATGGATTTTACTCCCCACTCGATAGAAACAAACAGCATTGGCATAGAATGAATTCGAACCCCTCCTAAGTAACAGATTGACAATCCACAACTTCACTACCCACAAGCCCCTTACCATATATCATCAGCTCAAAACTCGAGGATCACTGCCTTTAGAAATGAACAAATCCATCTAAATTTGACCATCTTGTAACTTACAAATCCAATTCAACAAACTAAACCCTAATCTCATAACTCTATACTTATCCTTGCAGCAGGAAGGAGAAAAAACAGAGCCACATCACACACACGCCAGCTGGATCAAAGAAGAACGCCAGAAAATGAAATTGGAGGGGACTTACTTTCGCTTCTTCCTCCAGGACTTCTTCTTGCCACCAGTGGCACGCCTCTTGTGCATCGAATCACGAGAGATCCCTACCCATATCCAATACAAAACCAGATGACAACATCATCAGAATCAAGCTACGACAATGATTCAAAACCAGAAAAAAAAAACCTAAGATCCTCGAGAATCGGCCACAAATGAGACATACCCATTTTCGCAGAATGAGGAGACGACGCTGTTCTGCGGACCTCCGGATACCAGCAGCCGTCGGGATACAGAAACACACAGCTTCGGCTAAAGAGAAATTGTGCCCAGGCGAAGGCTTAGCTGTTATAGTGCAAAAACCCTAGTTTCAGATTACGTCTTTGTCCTCAATGCTGAGGGTGTTTGGTTTGGGTAAAATCGTAATTTACTATACAGAACAACCGGATAAGCCCAATAATTTAGCCCGGCTGGAGAAAGGCCCGTTTACTTCATATGCGAGTTAGTTGGTCATAGCGCCGGTAACGGGATCCACCCGGCGGCAAGACGGCGAGTCGCTTTCATTCCGTTGTGAACGATGGCACCAAGGCTAGTTGAAGAGGGCAACCCAGATGAAGAAAGGGTTGGCTCTTAGTAAAGCTTCGTCTTTTGCTCATCGGCAATCGACCAATGTGCTAGTTAATTCGATTTCTTTATTCCTCCTGGATACATACATGCGGTTGGTATCGACGGCTTTCCATATTCCCGAGCATTTCGGCTGGTGGGTTTTCTTGATACACTATGTTGAGGGCTGAGATGAGCTTTGCAACGGTGAGTAATTTGGGTTCCCTCATTAACTTGAAGAAATTCCATGGGAGAACTGCTGCGGCGTTTCAGTCCTCAAGTGGGAAATGGAGGTTTGGTGTGAATTTCAATTGTCGGGAGTCGCAGCCTTGCCGCCGGAGGAAAAGGTTGCTGTGCAAGAGTGAAGTTGATGATTTCGAGGAGAGGACGAGTCCGCATGAGGTGCGCCCCCACTCCTTTCTCCATGTTCAGATGTTAGATGTTCATTGCTTTTGTGATTGATTTCAATGGTTATGGTTTGTAATGTGGCTTTTGTGTTTGAGATTATGCTTCCAAGTTCATAGCTTTCCCTGGCTTCTGTTTCTGGTCCGTTTCTTATAACTCCACGGTCCCGAGAATAAGCACAGAATTTAGAGTAGGGAAGCTTGCTAGATCAAGGAGCAAGAGTTTGTTGGATATTTTAAGAGTAGATCAGTTGTTGTTCTGAGTGATTCATGATTGGGGCCATCTGATGCTTGCAAATTGTACTAGCAGCTCCGTGGAACTTTTTGGTCATTAGTCTCTAGGTCCGCTTGGTGTTTGAAGTTCTGCTATTATAAACCTTATTGTGGGAGCTTAGTGGTCAGCTTGTGTCTTATTGTTTTGAAGATCAGAAAAGAGGTAGAGCGATGTTACGATCTCATCAATCGAATTGGAAGGGGAACTGTTTATCTGGGTTCATCACGAATGGGACCAGATCATCCACATTACTTGAAAGCATTTGAGCTTGGGAGACAGGCAAGTCGGCCTTTGCTGCCTATAGCTTCTACATTTAAATTTCATTTAAAGGGGGTTGAAAAGCATTTCGAGAAGATCAAAATGACATTTCAATCATAAGTTCTGAGAAGAGTTGCTTGTTCTTGTTTCCAGATTGCTGAGCTTTTTGAGTGCACGTCATGGACAGGGGCTGGTCCAGGTCTAATGGATGCTGCTACTAAGGGCGCATTGCAAGCAGGAAAGCCTGTTGCTGGATTTAAGATCGGTAAAGAAGCTGGGGAATGGACGGCCTCAAACTTTCATCCTTACCTACCCACAGAAACCTATCTAACATGCAGGTAAAACAGCAAATTGACCTGTGTTAGTGTTGCTCTAAGCTCTCCATTGTGCCCTCGTAGCAGCAATCATATATTTCCAGACAAATGGCAGGTTCTTCTCAGCCAGAAAACACGGCTGGCAGATGCTGCAGTGAGGAACAAGGCTACTGATCGGACTGCTGTGGTTGCTCTCCCTGGTGGGATCGGTACTCTAGACGAGATGTTTGAGATATTAGCATTGATTCAGCTGGAAAGGATTGGGTCAGAGCTTCCGGTACCCTTCATCGTGATGAACTATGACTCGTTTTACAAAAAGCTGTTGGAGTTTCTAGATGATTGTGAGTACTGGGGCACTGTTTCGAGAGGTGAGGTTGCGTCGCTGTGGAAGATATGCGAGAACAACTCGGAAGCTCTAGCTTACTTGGCTGATTTCTACCATCTATCTCCCTTGGACTGACTGAGAAAGGGAATTAACCGTGTGCTCAGAAGTGCCACTTTACTTTTGAGTCATCTTTGGCTAGTCCCAGGAAGTACCTATTCTTTTTTTTTGTTTTTTTGTTTTTTGTTTTTACTTGTAACAGAACTACAGAAGGAAGTACCTACTCGAATTCGGAATTCTGAAAAGCAAGCAGGAGATAGAACTAGCTAAGCTTTAACTGATCTATGTCTATTGTTGGTTGCCAGTCGTTTCTATCAAACAAAACATCAAAGTTTCATTTGAAAATTCATACTTCTGTTTATGTTAGAGATAGAGTGCTGCTATGAGGAGCAATCTTCCGATTTTGAAGTATTCTGTAAACGTGTTATGTCTCCTGTTGTAGTCCCTTGGTACTGTCACCAACGAGGCTCAAGAGTCGAGAGAGGCTGCTCGAGATCGATGGAGGCATTTTGTAGCAAGGACGCGACGAGGGCGTCGCGAGAATAGCTGGGAGAGAATGTCACGCGTGACGGACGACATGGCGAGTGATGTGGCGGATCATGACCAAGTCAAGCATGTGTGGCATTAAGGAAGACCTAGTAGCATAGGATGCTAATAGGATTCCCCATCTTGAAAATGAGCTTAATGGTGCACATAAAGAGCCACATAAAGGAGCACCTTCTCATTTGTAATCATCCATCATTTTTGTGAGCAATACAACTAGAGAGTTTCTCCCATCTTCTTGTGTGTTCTTGTGAGTGGAGTGAGTTTGAGAGCTTGTGAGAAGGTTGTCCAGCATCTCTAACGGAATTGAGAGCTAGGGCCGCACGACCAATAGTAAGGTCGTGACAGTTGGTATCAGAGCCTGGTTGTGAAGAGAAGAATCGGTGTCCTCACTACAAATGACTCGATATTTGCACATGTTTTCCCCTTTGTTTCTTGATTGTTTAAGCTTGCATTATCGCTTCTTTGGCCTATTTTACGCTAGGTTGTGTTCCTTTGTCACATTTCAGGTCCTAGCACATAAAGTGAAGCGTAGGCGCAAGTTTCAAGTCAATCGGAGATCAATTGGCGACTCGGGGGAAGAAACTCGGGTATGACTTGAAGAAGAATGGATTTCTACCTCAGTTTGTGATCATATAATCATGTAATCTTGTCATGAAAAGAAAGAGGACGAGACTACGAGCGTCTGGGATCAAACGACACCTGATTTGGAATCCGAACGAGGGAGAAACGAAGAATCAAAGATAGGGAAAATTGGTTTCGGGCTTCTCTAAGAAACAGAAGGGGGCCCTATCGTGACACTAGCCTTGATTGGGGATTTTCCCAAAAATCCCCTATCGTGAACCAAAATCCCCTATCGTGAACCAAAAATCCCCTATCGCGAACGCAGGCTGTTAAAAGCCTGTTTTGTGCGTTTTTGCAAGGGAGAGCTGGGTTTTGGATCCCAAACACCCAAGGGACGAACCAAAGAAATAGAGGGCGATTTGAGGGCATTCTAAGAGTGGAATTGGAGGATTTCTTCGCCTTGGAAGCTCGAGGAACAAGCCCGAACTTGAAGATTGATCATCTGAAGATTCTTACTGCAGTCTCTCTCTTCTCTATGGAGTAACTTCCCTTCACTTAGGTTTTGAGGAACCCTAGCTATGTTTGTTTGATTGGATGATTGTATGAGTACTCTGACTTGATAATCTTGAGTTCATATTCAATCTATGCATGTTTTCATGATTCAATTCTGCTTTAGTCGAGATTATTGATTCTGCTTTGATCCTATGAGAGCGAATACCTGATTAGGTCAATAGAGCACCATAGATTGATAGTATTGGATCGATTGCTTTAGTCGAGGGTTGATTCACTGCTTTGTATCGATTGGGAACCTCTTTCGATATAGGGAGTCTAGTTCAGAACGCCTTGATCGGTTGTTCTAGAGAAGGATATGTCCCTCTAGGCAATTGACTCAAGAGGGCCTTGTTCCTTTAGTCGAGACTCAAGGTCTAGTCAAGGATTCTCCGCATTGTGAATGAAAGTGAAACAAGTTAGAGATCATCAATCGTTAATCCGGCTAGTGGCTAGGGGGAATCATACCTAAGTGAGTTCTCAACCTGTAATTAGATTAACTTTAACTGTAGTTTGCTAGAGTAGTTTTAGTTCTTTCATCTTAATCTGTTTTGCTAGACAATGAACTGAACCTGAGTAATAGTAACTCTTGAGACCCGTGGATTCGATATTTATTACTTGAGCCACTATACTGCAGTCCCTTTCATTGGTTACACTTGGCCATTGTTAGGAGTTTTGTCATAGCGAGTCAAGTTTTTGGCGCCGTTGCCGGGGACTTTCTAGAGTATTAGGAAAGGCAGAAGTTTGTTACTTTAGCGTTTTTCTTTTCTTTTCCACCCTTGCTTTTCACTTGGGTGTTTTTGTTTTTATTGGTGCAGATCTGAATCATGGATCCTCATGGCTTCTCCAACCATTGGGGGTATCCACCACCATCCGAGTGGTATTACCCCGAGACCCCCTGGAGCAATCAAGGAGGAGAAGACTATGGATTCGGGTTCCAGTACCAACCCCCTTACTACGGAGAACAACCAGACCCCTGGGCATATCAAGAACAACCTCATTACCAAGAAGACTTTCTCCCACAACCAGAAGGGCCATCAGAGCTGGAGTTACCCATGGCGGCCTTCACGGGCCATTCTGCAGAGCCATGCTACACTCCACAGCCAGATCCAAACTATGAATTGAGGCTTCTCATGAAGCAGTTTGCTCGAGACAGTGAGAGATCATGTGTCAGGATGGATCTTTGTACCCAGGCCTGTCGTGAAACAGAGGAGATCCTCCTGAGCCTTAGAAAAAGCGTCGATGATCTTGAGCGAGCTTGTGCACAACCTGCTCCAGATCACCCTTCTGCTACCATACTAGAAGAGGACGAGGAAGAAGAAGGCTACAAGGACATTGTGGAGCACACAGAAGTTGTCATGGAGAACTCCCGTGATGATCATGATCAGGAATGTCATATCATAGCCGACCACACCTTCCCACATCCCAAACTGAGCTTTGAAGAGGTGGTCATGAGTGAGGAGATGCAAGAAGATCTCATGAAAGAAATTGCTTGGCAACTTGCTCTCCAATCCGTGCTAGAAGAAGAAGAGCAAGAAAGGGTGCAGAAAGAAGTTGTGGAGGATGACAAAAGTGAAACGAAAGGAGTTCTTGATCATTTCCCAGGGGGTGATACACATGAAGAAGGAAGGGAGGTTGAAGAAGCAATTGGCGTCCAGGCTGAGGACGGAGTTGAGGTGGAAGAGGCCTGCACCGGCCATGAGTTACATGTGATATCTCCACCAAACTTCGAGGAACTACTTAGCAAGGACCCATTTGCAGTGTCTCTTTGCCAGACCAAGGCCACTTCGACATCGCTCCCTCTTGGTGGACGCGATGGTGGTCAATCGATGCTGTCATATCTAGTTTGGGGCAATGAGACGAGAGAAGAGAAGAAGAGGTCTCGAGGGTGGAGACTTCATCCGCATCAAGTGCACGAGCTTCCATCACCTGTCATACCACATGCTCGTGACTTGAGACTCCACCTCATTGACGAGAAACTCAACTTCAAGGAGGTTTTGGGGTGGACCGAAACTTAGGAGCTACCGTCTGGCTCACGACGTGAAAGAAGCGCTTGTTGGGAGGCAACCCAACCAGTCGGTTTGCATTTCTTTTTCTTTTTCTCCTTGGTTGAGTCAGTTTTGTTATTTGATTTTAGAGTCAATAACTCAACCTTTGTGAGATTTTGTGTGGTGTTTGTGTTTCGAATACTCTCTCCTCCTGGAATGCACCGCCTGCCTCGTCCACCGTCATTCACCCTTGATCTGGTAACTTCGTTCCCCTCCTTATCTTTCCTCCATTGAGGACAATGTCGTGCTTAAGTGTGGGGGGATGTTCGATTATGTATGCGGGTGAATGTTTGGTTGTTTGTGTGCTTGGAGCCTAGTCCACTGTCCAAATTTTTAAATTTGAGGGCTCCAAGTACGTGTTTCCTTGCAAATTGCCTGCTCAGTATGCTTTGAATTGACAGTCTCTATAGTAATGTGCAACCTAGGGAGGTAGTGTAGCACTATGGAGGATGTTGAAGTATAAGATTTTTCCTATCTAGCTCTCTGTTGTGCCAGTTGATTTTGTGAATTAGTGGAGCTAAGACCGTTGAATTCATGTAGTAATGGTGACTCTGTTTGGATGGTGTTGTGGACTCGTGTATCGAACAGGGTGCTCATGTGGAAAATGGAAAGCAGTTGGTCCTCCATGTCGAAATCATCAAAATCCTAAACATGGGGTAAGCCCAACGTGTGTGGCACTGTTCATTGCACAAAATCGGGTTTTGGAGGAGATTTTAGTGATCCTTAGTGGGGTACTCCTACAAGGTGAAGCTAAGCTGTCTCTAGTACAAGTAAAACTTCCACCCGTTGAACGGTTTGCCTACTCGAGGATGTGTTTTTAAGGGCACGGATAGAGCTTCCGACCCCCCTTAATTTCATTGACCCTCCACACGAGTTGAGGAAAAGGAGTTAAAAGAAGTACCTTGGCGAGCGCCAGGTGTACAGAAATTGCTCTTGCTCGACTAATAAGGGTCGACCGTGCGAAAGACTGCAGTTGGAACTCCCGCCAAGTGAATGAAAAAAAAAAGAGAAAAAGAAATAAAATGAAAGTGAAAAATGGGTTCCAACGGTGAAATGAAGTGAAAGAGAACCCCGGTACAACGAGTCTTTGGTTGTGAATTGTATGAGTCCCTTTATCCATGAACTGACTGTCTTACTTCCACTGCTTCTCATGATCCTGGCTTGAGTCTAGTACTCGCATTGAGAGAGATAGAGAACGTCTTAGAAGACCAGTTGACCTCGTAAGCTGCTATATGATCTAGAAAATCCTCTACCGACGATTGGGTTTGTTTGTTGCTATACAGGTCTGGAGAGCTGCATTGGTTTGAGTTAGGTTTGCTTGGGGACAAGCAAACAGTTAAGTGTGGGGGGATTTGATGACTCGATATTTGCACATGTTTTCCCCTTTGTTTCTTGATTGTTTAAGCTTGCATTATCGCTTCTTTGGCCTATTTTACGCTAGGTTGTGTTCCTTTGTCACATTTCAGG